TATTCTGATTAGTGCTTTTGCACCAATCAGAAATTTAACTACGTAATAATTTTTTTTAAATATGTCTACTTCTACTTTTCCTTCTTCTACTTCTGTTCCAGTCAAACGAACATTAGATCAAGTTGAAGATCAACCCAAAAATTTTTTCACCTCTGTAATAACGATTACAAAAGATTACATTTATTATCTCGACTTAACAAATTGGCAACTTAATACGGAAGTCGATGAAGATACATTTGTTGAGGCGTTTCCTCTTATTTCGGAACGTGAAAAATTTGTAGAAGATTTGAAGAATTTTTATGAAGCGAGAAAAACTGCTTTTTCTCGTATCGAAAGAATTCTTCCTAAAGAAAAAGAACATGAGTCATTTGATGAAATCCAAGAATGGCGAACCACCATGTTGCATGGTCCTAAAACTGGTGCAAAAATCGCTCTTGATAAGTTGGAGCGTTACGAGAAAAAAATGAAAAATGGTAGTCACAAAAAAAAGAAAATAAATTAAATTTTTATCTTCTTTTAAATTTATCTATTATTTTTATATTTTATTTTATCTTCTTTTAAATTCATCAATTATTTTTATTATTATTATTAAATAAACAATATTTCTGATCAGTATATTTGTACCGATTAGAAATTTAACTGCGTAAAACAAAAATGAAACAAATACGAAATAATCTTCAACAGATAAAACATTCGCAATATCAATATAATTTTTTCACAACACAAATCTCAATAAAAAATAAACTCATCTTAATTCGTAAAAGTTCACATATCAAAAATCGGATAAATTATTCCGAAACACGTTCTTATTTCAGATCTTCTGTGCCTGTTCTATATTACTGCCCGTATTGTAATCGTTTTCGAAAGATAAAGTTTTGCAAACGTTGTAAAAAATCTATTGATGATTTTGATTCTGAATCTAACGAATCTGTAATATTATCTTCAATAACGGAAGAATCTCAAAAATCTCGTAAAAACAAAGGAATTTTTGACGATGTGATTGAAAAATATTCTGCAAAATACATATCATCCCAATCTAGAACAGTAGAAAATGAATATATCTTTTGGTCTGATAACGAATTACAAATGGACGATAGTGATAACGAATTTATTATTTAAATATTTTAAATATTTTATTTTTTATTTTATTTATATATATCAATATTTTATTCTGTTCAGTATAAAAATACCGAACAGAAAATTTTCTGGTCATCTTTTTTTTTTTGTAAAAATGGAAGCAGAATACAGATTACTTATTAACAATTATTCGATTGCTTGCGATCTTGAAGAAAAATATCTTGTGACTTTATCTCATCTTTCTTTAGTGGAAAAATTTGGCATTCCTGTTAAAGAAGCGAAAAATGCGATTGAAATTCAACTTACTATTCAATCAAATTTGAAAAAACAACATAAAGAAACAATTACATCTTATGATATCGAAATCCGAAATTTTTCTTTGATCGTTCCGATAACTTCAAAAAAGCAAGTTCCTATTAGCAAAAGAATTAATCCTTTAAAAGATTATTTTGGATATTATCACGTGGTAACCGGAAGAAAAGAAAGAGATGAGACGTACGATGAATGTGCGAGACGTGAAATAAAGGAAGAAACCGGAATAACAATACAAGAATTATTTTATGTCGGAATAAATGAAAGGTTTAGAGTTTTTCCGGATAGAAAAGAGTGTTTGTGCTGATGCGCAGTATACTATACATATATTGATGACCAGATTCCAATTCGTACTGAACCCGATAAGCACGATGAATGGATTTTTGTAGATTTGAAGGATCTTTCTAAATATAAATTAACCGACACTCTATCTCTCTTTCTTCCATCCATACTCGAAATTGCAAATAAAAAATTTCGATACATCAATAATCGAAAAAAACGTAAACTTCTTCTTTCTGAAGAAATTTCTGAAAAAGTAAAATCGCCTGAACCTGTTATTCCAAACGGAATTGATAACACATCTCCAATTGACACTTCTGGCTCTGAAGCATAATTTTTTTATTCATTTTATTTAATTATTTATTCAATATATATTTTTATTTTTTTTTAATAAATTTATTAAATTTTCTGTTCTGTATGCCAACATACCGAACAGATTTTTATTTGTGTAAAATGTCTTCTGATTGGCAAGAAAAATTTAAAAATTTCGAAATTGTTACTGATTGGGAAAAGTACAAAAATCCTGATAATCCAAGACGAAAATTGAACGAATATTGTCTAATCAAGATTGATTTCAAACTCTATTTAGAGGTTAAATCATCAAACTCAGATTTAATATTTTTAACCGATCTCAACAATTTTAATCTGATTCAAAATTACACATGGTATTCTTGGAAGCATAGAAACACTTATTATATTGTTACAAACACAAAAAAAACAATAAAAAAATTTCATAGAATGATTTTTCCAGAATTAAAGATGATAGATCATATCAATCGAAATGGACTTGATAATCGTAAATGTAATCTTAGAGAAACAACACCAAGAGAAAATGCATTAAATTGCAAATTATTTAAACATAATACTTCTGGATTTAATAGAATTTTTTATAATAAAACAATGAAACGTTGGTGTTTTCAATATAATGAAAATAATAAACAAAAGCAAAAATGGTTTCTTGTTACTAAGAAACGAACAAATGAACAAGCAAAACAACTCGCTATAGATTTTAAATTAGCTCATGATAAAATTACTGGAAATCTTAATGGTTATGTAATCCAATAAATCTAATCTATTCTATTCTGTACAAATGTACAGAATAGATTTTTAATTACGTAATCATGACAACTCTCGAAACATCCGAAAAAAAGGTAAGATGCCCGTCATTTTACTTAGCATATACAAGATTTTGAAGCTACGCTGCCATATCGAATTAGGAAATATTTATGAATTCATCTCTTTAGATGATAATGAATATCTCTATTATTTCGGGAGAAACTGAAAGAACTCGGGTCTTTTGCAAATATTGGTGAATAGGAATCTTTTGCTAATATCATTTTACTCATTTCAGGTCTCCAATTATAAATCTGGACATGATTTTGAAGGCGCAGTTCGAAAAATGCTCGAAGCGAATATGATTTTGGCCAATGAAATAAAAGTGAACCAGGGCGATGGTGGTATCGATATTATTGCCACTTACAAGAAACATACTATTTTGATTCAATGCAAAAATGTCGAATCTCCAATTTCAATCAATATTGTGAAAGATTTTGAATCGTCAATTTCTCGCTATTCTAATCCTATGGATTCATTGTGTATAACGAAAAAAAGATGAAAACTAAAAATTTTATTACACATAAGGCGAATAAATGGATTGCTTCGTCTGATCAATTTATCAAAATTTGCAACGAAACCGAGATTTGCAACATTATTAAAAAATTTTGTAAAGAAGATTTTTATCAACCTCAGATAGAATTTTTTGATTTTTCGGCTGAAAATTTTTTTTATAATGAAGTTAGAAGTCAGAATGTTCACATTAAAAAAATTGTAATCAGAAAACGTTATAATCCTTATTAACTATTCAGTCAAAATTTGACCGAATAGTTTTCTAATTACGTATCTATCTCTTTTTTTTTTAATTAACTATGAATAAGAAAATTGTAACTTATTTTGCAAATTTAGAATCTGATATTATTAAATTAAAAAATATTTTACACGATAATAAATATAAAAAAAATGACTCTTTCTTATCACAAGAAGAACGTTCTCGTTTTCAAAAAGATTATGACGCGACAACTCTTCAAGTTGAAAAAGAGTTTGAACCTGAACATGGAAGAAGAATCGAACAAGAAACGTTGAAACGGTTAAAACGTAAATATCCGGAACAAATTAAAGTTGTCAACAAGAAATCTAAAACCGAACAGCCAAAAATTATTATTTTTACTGGACCAATAGCCATCGGTAAAACCACGTGCTCGGATAAAATAGCTGAGTATCTTCGATCGCAAAAATATACGTTCTTCAATATGTCAAGGCATCTCTTGATATCGAGCGTGAGCTAAAACTCTTTTATAAGGATGTTGACAAAAATGCTACATTTTTTCAATATGTCATTCTTAATTACTATAAGAAAAAAGTAAAAGAGATCAACAGATTGTCCGATTACGATTATATAATTCTTGATCGTACACATCTCGACACGGAAATTTTTACCCTTGCCAATATTACCGATATTGCTTTTTTAGAATATTTTAAAGACGTGCGTGACAGTATCTCACCTATTAAAAATGTTGAAAAGATCTTTTATCTTAACTGTGAAAAGAAAACGATAATTGATCGTCAAAAGATTCGATTCCAACAGAAGCGCATTTACGAGAAAGTTGATAGCAAATATCTTTACAAAATTCACGATTTCTACGAACAGCATATCGACAGGCTCTATCCTGAGCATATTAAAATATCAACTGATTGTGATAAAAACAAATATGTTAATATTTTAAAATTTCATTTTTAATTAATATTTTTTTTGTTTTGAATCTTTATTTATTTTTATTCTTTATTCTTTTTTTATTTTTTACGGCTGTATTTATTTAGTTAGTGCATATTGCACCAACTAAAAATTTATTCACGTGTTTTATATTCAAGCTATTATAATAATTTATTAAAAAATGAATATCACACGTCAACATTCTATTGTCCAATCAGATTCACCATATTTTTTTATCTACAACGCGACAGATTCGTTCACAAAAAAAAAAAATACGTATTATCGATCAATGCTGTTCATGAAAATGGTACCAAGTTGAATCTTAATTTCGATGTCGGTTATCCATTTTTTGACATCAAACTCGACGATACGCATAATTTTACGTTTTTTCTTGATAATTTGGGAGATAAAGAAATATTTTCTAGCCATTATGAGATACTCAGATCTGTTCAGCCATTTGATTCGGGAGCGACGTTTGATTTCATGCGTGTGTATTTTCTAAATCATATGGAACGACAAAATGCTCTGAAAAAGATAAAATATAAAATGGACTCTAAGTTAAAATTCATTCTTGATGACAATAATAATAATATCGAAAAAGATGATTGGTGGGAGTTATACGACATCTATTCAGACGACCTATCATGCTATTATAGAAAGGTTGCATATGAAAATGATTTTGAACTTGTCGGCTAGTATAAACTCAAAAATAACAAAAATGTGATTGATAATATGCGATTGACCCTGTCAGATATAGAAAAAGTTTCTGATCGTGTTTCATTACCACATTTATTATCATTATCTTGGGATATTGAATCATCAGACATTCGAGGTCCCGGTTTGTTTCCTCTTAGTCATGAATCTACATCTTACGTGTATGCTATTCAGATGGATTTCTATTAGATTTTTGAACAAACTCCATTTCAACACTACTGTATTACAACTTTACCGATTAATCAACAATTATTTTTTTCTAAATATTCTGATTGCTCATCTTCTGATTTTCATTTTATAATATGTGATTTGGAAATTTCACTTCTGTTGAATTTTGCGAGAATTTTTCATAATTTTAAACCTGATTTTGAATTTGGATATAACACGGGAGGTTATGATTGGAAGTTTATATTATCAAAAGTGGAACAACATAATATAACAAAACAATTTAATAATATTCTTCTTGGAACGACCGATGATGTTATTATAAATATTCGTGAGACTGAGGTTCGATATAAAGAACGAGATCTGGATGAGGTTATAAGAAAATATGAATTTGCAGGGATTAATATTAACAATCGTTCGATAAAAATTAATCCTACTAAAAAAATGATCTGTGAATATTATTACATAACCGGCACCGTATTCTTAGATCTTTTAATCTGGGCTAAAAAAACATTTCCAACTGAGCTTAAAAATACTCTTAATGATGTTCTTGTGCGTTGTGGTTTGCAAGGAAAGATTGATTTACCGTATCTTCCCACTAAATTGGATTATAAATCGATGTTTATCTATGTGAATGCGATAAAATTCAAGGACGATCCTATAAAAATTCAGGATTTCTCTTCACAATTAGTCTCTTTGCAAGATGTTGACTACGAATCATGCATGAATCATTTTTTGGTCTCTGAAAACCAACTTGAACACTATGCTGCAGACATTATATATTACTGTGCGACTGATTCGCTTC